CCAGGCGTGAGACGGAGGAGTCGAGTCTGGAGAGAGGGGAGGAGACACAGGAGGAGAACGAGGAGGGAAACGAGCTGGAGAAGAGTCCACAGGAGGAAACACAGGGCCGTAGACCGGCAGAGGAGGGGGCGGTGGCAACCGAGGAGGCACCGGTAGGCAGTTAGAAGAAGGAAGGCCGAGGAGGCAAAGAGTGGACACCGGCGGCGACGGCGACGGCTGCTGCCCAACGCCAACACCAGAACCTCTAGCAGGACCACGGCTCCCTCCAAGAAGCACTACGCCAACAACCCTAGAACGGGAACCCGCTCCAGTACCCGCGCCGGCACACTCCCCAGCACCCCCAGAATGCACAAACTCCAACGGCGGTGAAGACGGCGGCTGCGGATGCGGCGGCGACGGCAGCTGCGGAGGCGGCTGCGGCTGTGACAGTAACGGCGGCGACAGGGGAGGAGACACCGGGGCAGGGACAGGAGGGGGAAGGGATTCCGCCGAGCCGCGAGCGTCAGCAGACCCCTCGGCAGGGACAGCCGATGGGAGGGGGGTGACGTGAGACACACCTAACAGGGCAGGGCGGGGAGGGGGAGGAGCAGAGGCGACCGGGGGAGGGGGGGGAACCAGGAACTAGGGGGGAGTGATCGAGGGACCACGGTGGGGAAAGCTGTGGTAGAAGGAGACAGACTCGTCAAAGGTGACGTCGCGAGAGTGAAAGAAACGGTGAGACAGGGGGGTTTAGAAGTGCCAGTCAGACGAGTCGAGGGGGAAACCTAGGAAGACACAGGGGACGGTGCGGGCAGTGAGCTTGTTCGTGCCAGAGGCACGAACGTGAGCAAGGCAGCCCCAGACGTGGAACGAAGACGCGTCACCAAGAGACCCGGTCCAGAGGAGGGTCGGCGAAACCTGCGGCCGGTGAGGGTGCTGCCACAGGTTAAGCTGGTGGGCAGCATAGCGAACGGCGAACGGCCACAGAAAATGGGGTGCATCAGCATGGATCATGGAGGTACGAGCGAAACCGATGCGTCGCTCAGCGACCAAACCTCCATGACCAAACCGATGCGTCGCTCAGCGACCAAACCTCCATGACCAAACCGATGCGTCGCTCAGTGACCCCATTCTGCTGCGGGGAGTCTGGTAGGGTGTACATCTGGGTGATGCCCTCTGCAGGACAGAAGTGACCAAGGCAGCCAGAGGCGAACTCGCCACCACGGTCGGAGTGAAGGCGCAACACAGGGAAACTTTGGTGCACACGCGCAGAGACAAGCCACGGGATAAGAACGTCGGGCACGTTGGCCTTCTGCTCCAGGGGAAACACGGTGGTGTAGCGAGTGTAATCGTCGACAGGCACTAGGAAGTAACGCTCACGACGCGGCCCATGGACGGGGGCGGGGCCCTAGACGTCCATGTGCAGGGTCTGTAACGGTGCGGTGGTGGGGGGGAACGAGGAGGAGTGAGGGTCACGGCGGAGCCGGCCCTCGACGCAGGGGGTGCACGGAGGTGCTGCCGAGGAGGGGAGCGCAGGGAGCGACGCAGGGAGACCTAAGACAAGACCGTGCTGAGACATGTGACGGAGATGTGTAAGGGAGGGGTGACCTAGGCGGTGGTGCCACATAAGCGACGGGTGAGTAAGCGACAGACATGAGCAAGCCGCAGCAACCTGGGTAGACGCTGCCACCTGGGGGGGCGTCCCAACTGGGGGAGACGTGGTGTCTAGCGTGAACAGGCCAGAAACCAGGTCCCGGGGGAATGTGGTGAGGGGTGCACCAAAGGCAGCCTCGGTACAGACAGCGTACCTCTCATGACTAGGGAACCTAGTTGTGACGCCGAGGTCCTGAAGATAGCCGACACCAACTAGATTCCGAGAGAACGAGGGAATATGCAGGCCTGTAAGAGAGCCCAAAGGAAATACCGGACAGGGGAGAGTGGTGGAACCACGGGCAACTACCGGACTTGAGGAAGGGTCTGCAAGGGTAACTGTGGTAGGGGCGGCAAGCGGCATAAGCGTAGTGTGGTCCCGAAAGAAACACCGAGACTCGCCAGAGTCGAGAGTGAAGGAGAGCGCGGCAGTGGCGGCTGGGGGCGGAGGAGCTAGGATGAAGCCAAGGCTAAACAAAGTAAAGGGTCCTACGCCTGACGCAGCAGAGGAGCCTAAAGTAGGCACACTGGACACACCTACACTAGGCAACACGGGGTAATAGGAAACAGTCACACTAGAGTCATCGATGCACAGCACATACAATGCGGAGCTAATCTCATCCATGTCCATATCAAAGTTCCTACCACCACGGCGGAGCAGACTGTGCCAGTCGAGGAGGTCCGGCTCGAGGCCGAAGCGGAGACAAAACAGGTTGTCTAGGCGACTGAAACAGCGAGTAGGGGTATGACCGGTCTTACCGCATACGAGGCCGCGGCGAGGACCGGTTTGGAGCTGGTACTGGCAGCGCCCGTCACTCGCAACACCACCCAACGACGAGCTACGTGCATGACCACCGCGACCACCACCACCACCATCACCCGCGCCAGGCCATCTTGGCGGGAGGCGGCCGACCCTCCGCTGCGACTGCTGCTGCTACTGCGGCTGCTGCTGTTGCTGATGTCAATCTGTGGCGCCTACTGCTGCTCCCGCTGGGGCTGCTGCTCTGAGGCACCAGCCTGAGCCCCCTCATCAGTACTACCGCCAGCGGATGAACCACCTCTACCACCATCTCCACCCCCTCCTCCACTACCACTGCGGTGCCCAGCCTTGGGTGGTGGGCCTTACCATAATGGGACTGCGCTGTGGCCACCGTGGCAGTGGTCTCAGCAGTAGGGGCTGTCACAGCGTCAGCCATTGAACCGTCAGAGTAAGTCCACTGAGCGGGGGCACAACCCTGAAAGATAGGGACCGGCGCAGTACCGCAAGACTTGGCGATAGAGCGCTGATGGGTCTCTGTGGTAGACAGGGTGTCGAGAAAGTCATTGAGGGTGAAGTCAGCGGGGTGCAGACTAAGAAAGTGGTCGCGGGCAGTGGCAAGGCGGTCGGGGAGGCGGGTGGCAAACAGGTAAAGGGTAGAGCAGATAGGGGGTTGGAGCACACGAAGCTAGGCCTCAGTGCAGGTAGCGCACCAGCTAGCGTCGAGCGTGCGCAGGTGTGTGGCTAGGTCAGCAACAGTGAGGAAAGACACGAGATCAGGGAAGAGCATGGGAAGGATTAGGCGGCCGGCAGAGGCAGAGGACGGGGTGGAATAACGCTCGACAACAGCCTCTAGGAAATCCTGCGCAGTCCTGACCGACTTAAAGGGAGGGCGCTCAGACAGGGGGAGGGCATGGCTAATCGCGAGCTGAGGGACAGCGTCACGCGACAGCCAGACAACACGGGCAAGGGCAGCAGCGGCGGCGGACTCACGGTCAGCAGACATGGGGTCAGCAGGGAGAGCAACAGGGGGGTCAGGGCAGGGGAGCGTACCGTCAATGTGGACGGCCAGGGAGTGGCCGTCCTGCTGCTGACCAATGAGGTGACGGCGGAGGTCGATGAGCCATGAGTCGAACTCAACCGGCTGACCCTCCACGTCAAAGTGCAGCACCGAGTCCATCATTAAGGCCGCTGCAGCCACGAATAGGCGGTGAAGGGCGGGACGGAGTGACGAGGAGCAGTAGGGAGGAGTGCTGTACGGTCCATTGCGGTGAAGTGCAGTGGGGCGCCGTGCAGTGCGGTGCCACACGGTGCAGTGTGGTGGGGTGCAGTGCAGTGCGGTGTAGTGCGGTGGGGCGTGGTCCAGTGCGGTGCTGAGCGGTGCAGCACGGTGGGGCGCGGTGCAGGACGGTGGAGAGGGCCGGTTAAGCGGGCGGGGAAGGGTTAAGCACAGCGGCTGAGCAGCTGGGAGACGGGGCCGCGGGGCGGCTGGGCGACGGGTCCGTGGAGCAGTAGGGCGACGGGTCGCGGGGCGGCTGGGCGACGGGGCCGCGAAGCAGCGGGGCGAAGAGGCCGCGGGGCGGCTGGGCAACGGGGCTGCGGAACAGCGGGGCGACGGGGCCGCGATGCGGCTGGGTGACGGGGCCGCGGAGCAGCGGGGCGACGAGGCCGCAGAGCGGCTGGACGACGAGGCCGCGGAGCGGCTGGGCGACGGGGCCACGGGGCGGCTAGGCAACAAGGCGGCTAGGCGACGGGGCGGCTAGGCCACGGGGCGGCTAGGCGACGGGGCGGCAGGGTGGTTACGCTATGGGCGACGCGGCCACGGGGCCAGCAGGACGGCTAGGCGCAGGTGACGGGGCCGCGAGGCCAGCGGGGCGGCTAGGCGCTAGGTGGGGGTGCAACGGGGCCACGGGCGGCTAGGCGCTAGGCGGCAGGGCCGTGGGGCCAGCAGGGCGGCTGGGCGCTAGGTGGCGGGGCAATGAGGCCACCGGCGTCTAGGCGCTAGGTGACGGGGCCGCGGGGCCAGCGGGGCGGCTAGGCGCTAGGGAACGGGGCCAGCAGGTGCTAGGAGACGGGGCCGACAGGCCGGCTAGGCAACGGGGCAGCTGGGCCAGTGGGCTGGCTAGGCAACGGGGCAGCGGGGCCAGTGGGGCGGCTAGGCGCTAGGCGATGGGGCAGGCTAGGACCTAAGGCGGAAGCGCGGGTGGGCGGGGGGGACCTAACCTACTCATGATACCATCTCAGAGTTAGAATTGTGTAGTAGATGGAGAGTATACAGGGGTATATAGCTAGTGGATTGTACTCTCTATGGCATGACCCTATGTAGTCTACCAAACATACACACATATGTTTGACAGTTTCCGATATGTTTCCTTGCATTCGCATGAAGGTCTTGCACATGCGCCATTCGAGACCAAGTCTTGCGAGGAGCCCGGTAATGAAGAGCTTGTTGCTAAAGCTCCCCCAACTTTTGAGGAACTGGTCATGGAAGTTGCGGTATCAGTCGAGATATCTTCCAACCCCCTCTCCTAGAAGCATCTGAACCGAGATTAGTTGTTGAATTGACTTGCTCTGCGCCATTGCGTCTTACGCTTAGTGTACCTTGTGTTAGAATTAAGGACAGAGTCTAGGTGAACTTAGGAGCTAGAATTACTCAAAATATAAATCCGAAATTCTGGACAGAAAAGTCGTCTTCACAAGAAACGACGTCGACAAAACACTAGCCGTTGGAATGTCGCGAAACTTGGATATGTTGTAGCTCTTGATCTCAGCTACCGTTCCCAATTTGAATCACGTTGATTGATGAAGTATTCGCGACGCTATGGCTTTCGACGCACTAGGGGGTAAGCTGTAGGAGGAGAACTTAACTCAATCTCAAGAGTTCAATCAAAGTTCAAGAATCTCACAAGGAATTAGAAGGAGCAAGAGAAAGGTTGGGATAGGAAGAGAGGGATGAGAGGGAAGGTCCCAAGAGAGTCCCCAACCAAGGAAAACCCCATAAGCACAAAGATTCCCTCCCTATAGGAACCCCAACTTTGACATTTGTCCCTTCCCAACCAATCCATCCAAGTTGGCCACCCTTGCCAACCTAGCTTGGTTGTTCCCAACCAATTTGCAGCTGTTACAGTAGAGTGACAAGTTTCCCCAACCCCAAAGGTCCCAACTCCATATAAAGTCACCCCACAACTTCACTTAGTAACCGCCGCAATTGTAACGCAAGCTCATGAACTTTGAATCTTCATAGCTTTCGCGTTCTTGCTCCGATTGAAGCGATTCTTGTTGCGTCGGAAAGATCTTCTCAAGATCTATTATCACAAATACCTGCTCAGACAGAATAACACAAAACACATTCCCAAACTCCAGAACACACCACACACAAATGCTTGCACATTCAAACCACACATGCAAGTTGAAAAAACATGGGATGGGAGGCAGACAGAATGTGATAGCATATGATGACATCACACAACAATCTCCCCCTCTGGCTGCCAACCATCATCGACCATACCACATCTCAAGCATGCATACTCAATGCACACTCATCCCAGCAAGCTTCATGCCCTTCCAATGATCCGCCTCCGCCAGACGCTTAGTGAAAATATCTGCTGCCTGCTGATGGGTCTTCACTATCTCCAGCCGCACCTCCTTATCAAGGAGTCTCCTCACCCAATGCCACTTAGGCCTTATGTGTTTTGTCAGCCCATGCAGACAAGCATTCTTGGCCAGCTTCACTGCAGACTCATTGTCACAGAACACAACTGTCGGCTCTCCTGACCAACTCCCAACTCCTCCAACAAACGCCTCAGCCATACCACTTCCTTGGCCCCATGGTGTAAGGCCATGTACTCAGTCTCACATGAAGACAATCCCACCTCATTCTGCTTCTTGCTGCGCCAGCTCACAGCACCACCTCCCAGCAAGCACACATAACCCCCAATGCTGGTGCCATCCGCTTTCACTGAGTTGAAGCTAGCGTCAGTATAGCAACTCAAGAGCATCTCACCACTCTTCACATCTGCAGCACCTCTCTGCAACCGCTGCCTCACTCCACTGTACTCCAATCCCACTGATGCCGTAGCGCTCACATAGCGGACCAACCTCTTGGCCGCTTCCAGCTGCTCATGACTAGGGCGTGAAACCACGCTAGCCAGTCGTGATGTAGCAAATGCAATGTCAGGCCGTGTATGATTTGCAGCATAATTCAGCGACCCAACCATCGAATGAAACAGCTTCCTGTCACTATCACCCACTACCTCCTCATCAGCACATGGCTCCACAGTAAACCCTGAAGGTAGTGGTGTTGCTGGCTTTCCCCCATCTTGCAGCCCATACTTCTCAGCCAGCCCCTCACAGTACTTCCTCTGGTGCAACCTCAGCACACCCTTTTCCACATCTCTCTCCACATGCATCCCCAAGTAGTACTTCGCCTCACCCATCTTGGAGCACTTGAACTGCATCTCCAGCATCTGCTCTGCGCTGTCCAGCAAAGCAGTTGATGCAGAAAAGAGAAGGATATCATCCACATACACCAAGAGCATGAGGATTTCGTCCTTCTCCTGCAGCAGGAACAGGCTGGGGTCACACTCACTCTTCTTGAAACCCCCAGCCAGCAGCGCCTCCTCCAACTTGTGATACCATGCACGAGGCGCCTGCTTAAGGCCATAGATGGCCTTCTTCAGCCTGCAGACCCTGCCGCTCCCATCATCCAGCCCCTCTGGCTGCTTCATGTACACCTCCTCCAGAATGATCCCATTCAGAAAGGCAGTCACAATGTCCATCTGCCGAATCTTCCATCCCAGGAGTGCAGCTATCGCCAACAGCACCCTCAGTGTTGTTCCTTTCCCCACAGGAGCAAACACCTCATCATAGTCCTTCCCCTTTGTCTGCTGAAACCCCCGTGCCACAAGCCTAGACTTGTAGCGGGTCAGCTCCCCTTCAGGTCCATACTTGTGCCTGTAGATCATCTTGGAAGTGATTGCCTTCTTTCCAGGAGGCAAGTCACACAGGTCCCATGTCTCGTTCTCAATTAGGGACCCGAACTCCTCATCCTCACTCGCCTTCCACTTCTCCCCATTTGGTCCATTCAAGGCCTCTTCTCGAGTCTTGGGCTCAGGGATTGGTGCCCAGTAGCAGTGAGCGATCTCATCTTCCTCAATCTGCTCAACCACACTCCCAGCCTGCACCACATTCGGCTTGCCTCTTCCCCCATAGGTCAGCCTCACTGGAGGGCGCACATCCCTCCTAGGACGCTCAGGCGGGTGTGGAACTCGAGGTGGAGACTCATGCTGCTGCTGCTGCTGCTGCTCTACTTCAGCTGCTCCCCCTTCCTCAGTCACCCCAGACATCTCCTCCTCTGACACTGCAACCTCCACCTGTCTTGAAGGCTGCTGCACCTCATCTGCCTCCACAATGAGCGGTGTAGATGGAAGCTTCTGTTGCTGCTGCTTCCATTCCTTGTAGTACAGGGACTCAAGAAACTTCACATCCCTTGACACTGTCAACTTCTGGGTGGTCAGGTCCCATAGCAGCCACCCCTTGTGATCCTTTGCAATCCCCAAGTGCACACCCCATCTTCCAGAAGCCTCCAACTTCCCCCTTTTCTCCTTAGGCACATGAAACACCACCATGCACCCAAATGCCCTCAGCATGTTCACAGCTGGAGCACTCCCATACCACTTGACGTATGGGATCCACTCCTTATCTCCAACTGTAGCCAGCACCCTGTTCTTCACAAGGGCGACCTGCCTCAGTGCAGACACCCAAAACGGATCAGGCAGCCCTGCACGCCCAAGGAGAGTGCGTGCCCCCTCCTGCAGGGTCCTGTTGAACCTCTCAGCCACGCCATTCTGCTGTGGGTTGTAGGGCACTGTCAGTTGATGCTGGATCCCCTTCCTCTTCAACTCCCCCTCAAAATCAGCTCCAATGAACTCCCCACCATTGTCACTGCGGATCACCTTCACCTTGTGTCCGCATTCCCTCTGAGCTCTAGGCATCCACTCCTTAAGGACAGCCGCTGCCACCTCCCCCTTGCTCTTCAAAGGGTAAACCCACACTGCCCGAGTGTGGTCATCCACAATTGTCAAGAAATAGCGGCTGCCTGAGAGGGAAGGGGCTCTTGTGGGCCCCACCACATCCATGTGCACAAGTGCAAGTGGGGTCTTGGATGGTCCAGTTGCACTGTTGAAGGGGAACTTGGAGAACTTGGTCTCCAAGCATGTAGGGCAGCTCCCAATCTCCTTCACTTCCCCTTTCACCTCCAAGCCCTTCAGGCTCCCATTCTTCACCAACTTCTGCAGCATAGGGAAGTTCACATGACACAACCTCTCATGCCATGTCTCCCAATCGGCCTCTCCACTCCTTGATGAAGCCTTAGCCCATGCCGCACTCGCATCCACACCAGCAAGCACCTCACCATGTGTCTGCTGCTTCTGCACTTTCTTGACTGCTTCCAGCACCCCATCAGTTGGTGCAGTTGCATCTCCTCCTGCTGTTGCCTTTGCCACTGCTGCCGTTGCTGCTGTTGGAGTCTTCCCATTCCAAGGGATGATGGGCAGCTGCCACAGGTCCTTGATGCAGCTGGTCTCCTCTTCCAGACTCCACAGCACCTTCTTCCCAAGCTTAGCACGGCAGCTGGTTGGTCCAAAGGTCACTTCGGCCTTACTCTTCTGCAGCCGCCGCACAGAGAGAAGGTTAGCAGACAAGCCTTTAACCAGCAGAACATTCCCAAGCCCCACAAGCTCCCCATTAGCTCCCTTAACCTTGGCATTCCCAACACCAATCACGGGGAGCAAAGCACCTGACGCTGCTGCCACATACTTAATCTTCCCAGGGGGTTTTACCTCATCAAGCAAATCTGCCCGTGGAGTCATGTGACTGGTGCAACCCGAATCAATCACCCAGTGCGTGAGAGGGTGCATCACAACCTTTCCCACAGATCCCACATCACCCTCATGCCCATGCACATCCTGAACCATAAGAAACAAACCAGGATAGGCATTACCTTGTGCACCTTCACCTTGTGCACCTGAGCCTTGCACAGCGCCACCTTGTGCGCGTTCACCACTGGGTGGCTTCATGCCTGGAGGTGCCCATCCCTCCGGCCTGCTGAAGCACTTGAACCAAGGATGCCCTATCTTCTTGCAGTACCAGCACGTGCCCTCCATTCTGGTACTCCCCCTGCCACTAGAGCTCCCATGCCCCTCATTATAGTCACCTCGGCCTCTACCTCTGCCAAAGCTCCTCCCACGGCCTCGGCCTCTCCAACCCCCTCTTCCTCTGCCGCGCCCTGCAGCTCCATACCCCTCAGCAGTCTTAGTGGCAGCACCGCCTCCCACATGGCGTCTGCGGAAGTCCTCCTGCAGAATCTGCTGCCTTAGCCACTCAGGTGTCCATTGATCTTGTTGAGAGTTGAGGGTGGGGATGAGGTTGTCCCAAGAGTTGTCCAACACCGAGATGATCTTGGTGCACTGCTGCAGCTGAGATACACTGCTGCCCGCTGCTGCCATCCTTGCATAGGTGTCCTTGATCTTGTCAAGGACCGGCTTCACATCGTCCCCTGGTCGCATGGAGATGGCAGCAAGTTCCTTCTCGAGCACGATCACCATCGGGAGAGTGTTGGGCTGAACCACATCACGTAGTAGTTTCCACGCCCTTGGACCCGAATCATCCGCTTCCACAAGATCCTTGATGTGCTCGAACATCTCCTTGTTGACCGATTGAAGAATGAGGTCGAAAAGCACCGCGCTTTTCTCAATCCACCGTTCACGTGCTTCGCCTTCTTCCGGCATCTTCTCTTCCCCAACAGCAATCTTCAGGAGCTTGTAGCGTTTGAAGGCACTCCTCATCCGTCCGCTCCATTCCTCATAGTTGGAGCCATCCAAAGCTTCAACTTTTGATGGCGGCGGCTCACTTGTCTTCTCAGCTCCATATAAAGTCACCCCACAACTTCACTTAGTAACCGCCGCAATTGTAACGCAAGCTCATGAACTTTGAATCTTCATAGCTTTCGCGTTCTTGCTCCGATTGAAGCGATTCTTGTTGCGTCGCAAAGATCTTCTCAATGATCCGCCTCCGCCAGACGCTTAGTGAAAATATCTGCTGCCTGCTGATGGGTCTTCACTATCTCCAGCCGCACCTCCTTATCAAGGAGTCTCCTCACCCAATGCCACTTAGGCCTTATGTGTTTTGTCAGCCCATGCAGACAAGCATTCTTGGCCAGCTTCACTGCAGACTCATTGTCACAGAACACAACTGTCGGCTCCTCCTGACCAACTCCCAACTCCTCCAACAAACGCCTCAGCCATACCACTTCCTTGGCCCCATGGTGTAAGGCCATGTACTCAGTCTCACATGAAGACAATCCCACCTCATTCTGCTTCTTGCTGCGCCAGCTCACAGCACCACCTCCCAGCAAGCACACATAACCCCCAATGCTGGTGCCATCCGCTTTCACTGAGTTGAAGCTAGCGTCAGTATAGCAACTCAAGAGCATCTCACCACTCTTCACATCTGCAGCACCTCTCTGCAACCGCTGCCTCACTCCACTGTACTCCAATCCCACTGATGCCGTAGCACTCACATAGCGGACCAACCTCTTGGCCGCTTCCAGCTGCTCATGACTAGGACGTGAAACCACGCTAGCCAGTCGTGATGTAGCAAATGCAATGTCAGGCCGTGTATGATTTGCAGCATAATTCAGCGACCCAACCATCGAATGAAACAGCTTCCTGTCACTATCACCCACTACCTCCTCATCAGCACATGGCTCCACAGTAAACCCTGAAGGTAGTGGTGTTGCTGGCTTTCCCCCATCTTGCAGCCCATACTTCTCAGCCAGCCCCTCACAGTACTTCCTCTGGTGCAACCTCAGCACACCCTTTTCCACATCTCTCTCCACATGCATCCCCAAGTAGTACTTCGCCTCACCCATCTTGGAGCACTTGAACTGCATCTCCAGCATCTGCTCTGCGCTGTCCAGCAAAGCAGTTGATGCAGAAAAGAGAAGGATATCATCCACATACACCAAGAGCATGAGGATTTCGTCCTTCTCCTGCAGCAGGAACAGGCTGGGGTCACACTCACTCTTCTTGAAACCCCCAGCCAGCAGCGCCTCCTCCAACTTGTGATACCATGCACGAGGCGCCTGCTTAAGGCCATAGATGGCCTTCTTCAGCCTGCAGACCCTGCCGCTCCCATCATCCAGCCCCTCTGGCTGCTTCATGTACACCTCCTCCAGAATGATCCCATTCAGAAAGGCAGTCACAATGTCCATCTGCCGAATCTTCCATCCCAGGAGTGCAGCTATCGCCAACAGCACCCTCAGTGTTGTTCCTTTCCCCACAGGAGCAAACACCTCATCATAGTCCTTCCCCTTTGTCTGCTGAAACCCCCGTGCCACAAGCCTAGACTTGTAGCGGGTCAGCTCCCCTTCAGGTCCATACTTGTGCCTGTAGATCATCTTGGAAGTGATTGCCTTCTTTCCAGGAGGCAAGTCACACAGGTCCCATGTCTCGTTCTCAATTAGGGACCCGAACTCCTCATCCTCACTCGCCTTCCACTTCTCCCCATTTGGTCCATTCAAGGCCTCTTCTCGAGTCTTGGGCTCAGGGATTGGTGCCCAGTAGCAGTGAGCGATCTCATCTTCCTCAATCTGCTCAACCACACTCCCAGCCTGCACCACATTCGGCTTGCCTCTTCCCCCATAGGTCAGCCTCACTGGAGGGCGCACATCCCTCCTAGGACGCTCAGGCGGGTGTGGAACTCGAGGTGGAGACTCATGCTGCTGCTGCTGCTGCTGCTCTACTTCAGCTGCTCCCCCTTCCTCAGTCACCCCAGACATCTCCTCCTCTGACACTGCAACCTCCACCTGTCTTGAAGGCTGCTGCACCTCATCTGCCTCCACAATGAGCGGTGTAGATGGAAGCTTCTGTTGCTGCTGCTTCCATTCCTTGTAGTACAGGGACTCAAGAAACTTCACATCCCTTGACACTGTCAACTTCTGGGTGGTCAAGTCCCATAGCAGCCACCCCTTGTGATCCTTTGCAATCCCCAAGTGCACACCCCATCTTCCAGAAGCCTCCAACTTCCCCCTTTTCTCCTTAGGCACATGAAACACCACCATGCACCCAAATGCCCTCAGCATGTTCACAGCTGGAGCACTCCCATACCACTTGACGTATGGGATCCACTCCTTATCTCCAACTGTAGCCAGCACCCTGTTCTTCACAAGGGCGACCTGCCTCAGTGCAGACACCCAAAACGGATCAGGCAGCCCTGCACGCCCAAGGAGAGTGCGTGCCCCCTCCTGCAGGGTCCTGTTGAACCTCTCAGCCACGCCATTCTGCTGTGGGTTGTAGGGCACTGTCAGTTGATGCTGGATCCCCTTCCTCTTCAACTCCCCCTCAAAATCAGCTCCAATGAACTCCCCACCATTGTCACTACGGATCACCTTCACCTTGTGTCCGCATTCCCTCTGAGCTCTCGGCATCCACTCCTTAAGGACAGCCGCTGCCACCTCCCCCTTGCTCTTCAAAGGGTAAACCCACACTGCCCAAGTGTGGTCATCCACAATTGTCAAGAAATAGCGGCTGCCTGAGAGGGAAGGGGCTCTTGTGGGCCCCACCACATCCATGTGCACAAGTGCAAGTGGGGTCTTGGATGGTCCAGTTGCACTGTTGAAGGGGAACTTGGAGAACTTGGTCTCCAAGCATGTAGGGCAGCTCCCAATCTCCTTCACTTCCCCTTTCACCTCCAAGCCCTTCAGGCTCCCATTCTTCACCAACTTCTGCAGCATAGGGAAGTTCACATGACACAACCTCTCATGCCATGTCTCCCAATCGGCCTCTCCACTCCTTGATGAAGCCTTAGCCCATGCCGCACTCGCATCCACACCAGCAAGCACCTCACCATGTGTCTGCTGCTTCTGCACTTTCTTGACTGCTTCCAGCACCCCATCAGTTGGTGCAGTTGCATCTCCTCCTGCTGTTGCCTTTGCCACTGCTGCCGTTGCTGCTGTTGGAGTCTTCCCATTCCAAGGGATGATGGGCAGCTGCCACAGGTCCTTGATGCAGCTGGTCTCCTCTTCCAGACTCCACAGCACCTTCTTCCCAAGCTTAGCACGGCAGCTGGTTGGTCCAAAGGTCACTTCGGCCTTACTCTTCTGCAGCCGCCGCACAGAGAGAAGGTTAGCAGACAAGCCTTTAACCAGCAGAACATTCCCAAGCCCCACAAGCTCCCCATTAGCTCCCTTAACCTTGGCATTCCCAACACCAATCACGGGGAGCAAAGCACCTGACGCTGCTGCCACATACTTAATCTTCCCAGGGGGTTTTACCTCATCAAGCAAATCTGCCCGTGGGGTCATGTGACTGGTGCAACCCGAATCAATCACCCAGTGCGTGAGAGGGTGCATCACAACCTTTCCCACAAATCCCACATCACCCTCATGCCCATGCACATCCTCAACCATAAGAAACAAACCAGGATAGGCATTACCTTGTGCACCTTCACCTTGTGCACCTGAGCCTTGCACAGCGCCACCTTGTGCGCGTTCACCACTGGGTGGCTTCATGCCTGGAGGTGCCCATCCCTCCGGCCTGCTGAAGCACTTGAACCAAGGATGCCCTATCTTCTTGCAGTACCAGCAGGTGCCCTCCATTCTGGTACTCCCCCTGCCACTAGAGCTCCCATGCCCCTCATTATAGTCACCTCGGCCTCTACCTCTGCCAAAGCTCCTCCCACGGCCTCGGCCTCTCCAACCCCCTCTTCCTCTGCCGCGCCCTGCAGCTCCATACCCCTCAGCAGTCTTAGTGGCAGCACCGCCTCCCACATGGCGTCTGCGGAAGTCCTCCTGCAGAATCTGCTGCCTTAGCCACTCAGGTGTCCATTGATCTTGTTGAGAGTTGAGGGTGGGGATGAGGTTGTCCCAAGAGTTGTCCAACACCGAGATGATCTTGGTGCACTGCTGCAGCTGAGATACACTGCTGCCCGCTGCTGCCATCCTTGCATAGGTGTCCTTGATCTTGTCAAGGACCGGCTTCACATCGTCCCCTGGTTGCATGGAGATGGCAGCAAGTTCCTTCTCGAGCACGATCACCATCAGGAGAGTGTTGGGCTGAACCACATCACGTAGTAGTTTCCACGCCCTTGGACCCGAATCATCCGCTTCCACAAGATCCTTGATGTGCTCGAACATCTCCTTGTTGACCGATTGAAGAATGAGGTCGAAAAGCACCGCGCTTTTCTCAATCCACCGTTCACGTGCTTCGCCTTCTTCCGGCATCTTCTCTTCCCCAACAGCAATCTTCAGTAGCTTGTAGCGTTTGAAGGCACTCCTCATCCGTCCGCTCCATTCCTCATAGTTGGAGCCATCCAAAGCTTCAACTTTTGATGGCGGCGGCTCACTTGTCTTCTCAGGTACAGCTCCTCTTCCATTAGCATCTCCTCCTCTCTCATTCATCTTCTCCTTGAGAAATGACGAATTTCAGCTCCCCTTTGCTGTCCACACTCAGCTCCCTCGATATTTTCACAAGTGTCGGCGTCCACGAAATTTCGGCAGAGTTTCCCCTTAGCGGAAGACACATCCAACCTTTAGAACACCACTTAGGCACACCCACAGGCCATGGTGGGTCTAGAAGGGTCTTCACACTTCTGTAGACTCCTCTCAATGTCCTTAATATGGCTCTGATACCACTTGTTAGGATTAAGGACGGAGTCTAGGTGAACTTAGGAGCTAGAATTACTCAAAATATAAATCCGAAATTCTGGACAGAAAAGTCGTCTTTACAAGAAACGACGTCGACGAAAAACTAGCCGTTGGAATGTCGCGAAACTTGGATATGTTGTAGCTCTTAATCTCAGCTACCGTTCCCAATTTGAATCACGTTGATTGATGAAGTATTCGCGACGCTATGGCTTTCGACGCATTAGGGGGTAAGCTGTAGGAGGAGAACTTAACTCAATCTCAAAGGTTCAATCAAAGTTCAAGAATCTCACAAGGAATTAGAAGGAGCAAGAGAAAGGTTGGGATAGGAAGAGAGGGATGAGAGGGAAGGTCCCAAGAGAGTCCCCAACCAAGGAAAACCCCATAAGCACAAAGATTCCCTCCCTATAGGAACCCCAACTTTGACATTTGTCCCTTCCCAACCAATCCATCCAAGTTGGCCACCCTTGCCAACCTAGCTTGGTTGTTCCCAACCAATTTGCAGCTGTTACAGTAGAGTGACAAGTTTCCCCAACCCCAAAGGTCCCAACTCCATATAAAGTCACCCCACAACTTCACTTAGTAACCGCCGCAATTGTAACGCAAGCTCATGAACTTTGAATCTTCATAGCTTTCGCGTTCTTGCTCCGATTGAAGCGATTCTTGTTGCGTCGGAAAGATCTTCTCAAGATCTATTATCACAAAACACATTCCCAAACTCCAGAACACACCACACACAAATGCTTGCACATTCAAACCACACATGCAAGTTGAAAAAACATGGGATGGGAGGCAGACAGAATGTGATAGCATATGATGACATCACACAACACCTTGCACAGGCTTTCCTAGGCATAGAACACAGGGGCGAGCAAAGCCTTGAAGGAGCATACACTGTAAAGCTGCAAAGGTGAGAGGTTTTGCACCAGCAGTGCATATGCCATTAGCAAGAGTTGACATTAATGCTCTTTGTCTTTGTTCATTCATTTCAAGGGATTTGATGGAGCCATCAAAGTGGCCCTTGATGCCAGAAGACTGCGCCAGGAGTTCCCGTCGAAGGCGCTGGAGGTCTGTAGCTTCGAGATGGTAAGGAAGACTGCTTGATTGACGACCGCAGTAGCATGCTGGAATGGGTTCTGACTGTTGTGTTGTTGTTCTTGTTGTTGTTGCTACTGTTGAATTGCAGAGCCACTATGGAAGATGAAAGAGCTTGCTGACTCATGTCCAGTATTCAGTGGTATAGCATCAGCAGCACGGGCATGGTTTGTGTTATAGTCACAATAGGCTCAGATGTGCCTATAATGAGAGATAGAGAGCACAGTCGGATTTCCGTCAGACGGCTTCAAATATTGATAACGATCTGCTCGCTGACTTAAACGGTGATCTGTAAATTGGATCTGGAGGGCGTTGTTTCCGTCTATCAGCAGCAAGTTGAATCATGAAATTCCATGAAGATTTGACGACGCTATGGCGGTTTGACTGGCAGGAGGTACAGCAGCCATTATAGTCTTAGGAGTACAAAAATCTTAGGAAGAAGAATTCGAGAGGGAGATGGTTCCCAGCCTCTACATACCCCAACAGCCGAGGTCCAGGTTGGTGGTACACCACCACAGAGTCCCCAACCATGAAGAGTCTCGAAACCAACCCTCCAAGGGGCTACACCAAGTGAAATATAACACTACACGAAGTAGCGTTACTATTTTCACTATTTAATTTTATCCGCGTCCCTTGGGCTTGAAATCTTGAGCTCTTGGTCTTGGATCTGCAAGATAAATTCTTCTTGAGTTGATGGGGGCTTGCTGCACACCTGCGACGCGATGGACACTTCACACTCGACAAAATAGAAAAAACACATGCGACACACAAACGACGACTTGACATGCGAGTTGTAAAAACTCGCTAATGTCTTGACCGACACAAACCACATTGTGATACACCATTCAAACACACACACAAGCACTGGATAGCAATGACATAGACTCACAATTCATTCCATGCCATGCATGCACACATACGAACAAGGACGACAAGGCGAGTGCAAGCCATAGTGTTGCACCAACAGTTTGAGCTATCTAAGCTCATAGTGTTGCGATACGAGTAGGTTCAGGAATCCTTGAGTTGCCTCTTTGGTCTTATTGTCATCCCATTCCCACAACTGCATTGAAGTCAGCTGCAAGTTCTTCCTGTCCAGAAGTAGGCAATCTAGTAGATTGGTCCGAAGGTCGCTTGTCTGATATGGGGATAAATCAGATTTAGAGATTGCTTCAAGAGAATGCTTGTAACGGGGTTGAAGAATATCTACTTGCTCATAATACCATGTAGAAGTAATTTCTCAGTGTGTGGAGTTCCCCAGGATCTGGACTGTTGTGGAACCTCTTAAAAAAAAGAGTGGCTTATATAGCAGGAGAAGTTCTTGTTATGAAGTAACCTATTTAAGAAACCTCTTCAGTAAACCTCTTTCCGTAACCTCATGTCGAAACTTCTTGCTGCAATCTCTTGGTGTACTGTTCACACGTTGATTCGGGTGGCTGTTGCCACCCGCTTGCATCCGCTGTATTAGGTAATGTGGGACTTCACATGTGCGCGTCCTCTATAAGAGGTAACACGCTACTTAGGAACAGATATAATTAGGAATTCTGCTTAGGTTTTCTTCGAACAACCTTCAACAATCGAAACAAATGTATAGCAGTCAGGGTTGGCTGCTAATATCCATACCGATTCCTCAAGGTGTTTCCGAGTTCTATATTGTGGCCTCAGGGTAAATTCTGGTACGCTTGAAATGTTGCTCAAAGCTACCTTGCACATCAGCAACACATTACAGAACACGAATTTTCATGCATGCTGTGCTGTCAAACGCTTGGGCAGCAGCACGCCATGCCTACAGAGTGCAGGCGCATCATGTGTTTGCACTGGCTTGAGGACTTAGCCAACACAACTCAAGTTTTTGTTAACAGCAACGTATGTGGCAAACTGAGAATGTGTATGCTGAGAGCTAAGGCAGCAAATTTCAGGCCACATGTGCTCTGCCACCAGATTCACTTCAGTTTGGGCGGAAAACAAGGGTCACCCCCGTGGTGCACGTGAATTTATAAGATTTGAAGAATCAAGGTGATCCCTAAAATTGACAGCTCAGGGCTGGTATACGAAGACTATACTGAAACTTTAGGGATGCACGATGATATCATACCACATGGTGAAAAGTGGAATTAGACTGGAAACTCAGGATTGGCACCTAACAGTGATCCTGAAAATCAGGAATTCAGGAAAAAAACCTGATTTCTAAGGCCCTGCACAAGAGGGTAATTGCCTGCAATCCTGGGATTTCCTCAAACCCATAGATATTTCTCCCACGCCCCCTCTCAACCCATACATTTTGGTGATGTCCTCACTGCCATAGACAAACCTCCAAACGTTACCCACAACCCTAAACTTTTGGCTAAATCGTCTAGACCAGAAACATTCCTTCAACACCCCCCGCAACCCATGAATGTCAGCTAGGGCCTCAGATTGCAGGCTTTTTACCATGATTCAGGGTAAAATCAGGGCTTTTTTGGGGGGTGACCCTGATGAGACAGGAGTTTTTAAAGACAGCGGCCTGAAATTTCAGGGTTTTTTTTTAGTGAACCCTGATCGATCCACGTGCCTAGTGTAGTGTGGCTTGTTTTTCCAGCGTCGTATCGGAGCCGGACCCTGATTCTTCTAATAGCGGATTCCCACCCCCAACCCCCCCACGACGTGATTTCCGTGAATCCCTCTCCGCCCTCCCCGTCAATCACGCCAATTGAGTGTGACCGACCAGATTTCAGCCCCGCAAGAGAATATTCTGCCATTCTTCATCCAGCACATAGTGCTCGGCGGGTTCTCATAAGCTGTTCGAAAGTAGCCAGCCACTGCTGTCTCCAGCACAGTGTAGCTGCAGGGTTTGGATTGGCTCATCGCCAAATTACAGCCACAGTAGCCAATAGACCAGGTCTAATGTTAGACAGTTGGCCCACCAGCACGGCAGTAGACCGCTACACACCCGCTTCGTGAACCACATCCATGCATGCAGAACTATGTTGCGAGCCGCGTGCCCTCCACAAACCTCAAAAGACCCCATCATCTTCATCGATCTCTTCAATCGATACTGTGCTACCACACCTGCTGCCTCGTTCAAGTTGAGTGCTTCCACCCCCCGCCATTCCGTTTCTCCTCCACGGTTGTGATTGATTTTCTTACCGTTGCCATTGTGCGATGGCAGCACCTAGCGATGGTGATCCAGAAGGCGATGATGGTAGCATTCCTCGTGCAGACCTGTGCACGGGGCTCGACTTGCTCCTCTCGACACTGTCTAGCCTCACCTGCATCCCGATTAGAGCCGATGCTGTGCCTAGAGAACACGAACATGCAAGAAAGGAAGTAGCCGACTCAGTTTCCGATGTAGTCGTTCTTCTTGAGCAGAGTCTTAGGCCCGGTCCGTCGGCACCAGCCGCCGTCGAGCACCCTGCTACCGCGACGACTACTCCCAAGCGCCTTGGTCGCTACTGCCAGGCCAAGTTACCGTTCGCAAAGCCGAATCCGAGAACTGTCGAGCTGCCGGCGTTGATACCTGCTGATGACGATGAAGAGCCGTCTGAAGACGAGACACCTTCAACCTCCAGGAAGTCTCTGAGTCCTTCCGAGATTTACGCTGAGGCTCTTTCCCGTTACAAGTCGAGGTGGCAGGAGCAGTTTCCGTGGCTCGTTTTGTGTAAAACTAACGATGGGCGCCCTGCCTTTAAGTGTACCATCTGTCTGGAGCATGCAGGGCTCTCTGGAAGGACTGGTCGTCGTGGGCCAGGAATCACAGATGCACAGACACAAGCGTTCATTAGGCACACTGGTACCGGAAAGCACCGCCTCGCGTTCGGGAAGCAAAACTTTATGCTGCAGGATGTTACTACCCAGACGCGAATCGATTAGAACCTGCATGCCATGGATTTGGAGAGGGAGCAAGTGACCGTGCTTCTTGACCTGCTGTACACGTGCTGCAAGACCAACGAACCCATGGACACATGGGTCACGATCACCAACC